GACGGACGGACAGACAGTCACCGCTTAATCGATTTCTCTTTTCATTCTGATCATTTATGTATACATTTGTCTATATCTATCTCGATTCGTTTTGCCTGTTACAAACAACCGTTATGTGAACAATGTTATAATACCCTTGTGCACAAGTGCGCTAATTGCGCGATAATTGAATAAATGCGCTCAAAAAAGGACTGAGCTCTACTTTCAAAAATGTAGCCCTGCCACATGGCATCTGAACGAAAAAGGCTACACCCAAAACAAAAATGCAAGTGCAGTGCAGTAGTGGGCAAGTGCGGAACATTGAAGTTTCAAATCAGCCGTTTGTGAAGCAATCTACCTTTCAAGGCATTGAGAAACTTCTTTGCTTCTTTGCCTTTGTTGGCAATATCTGACCGTTGGCCGGTAGAGGTTTTCTTTCCGCATTGTAAAGCCGTTGTTTCTTTAAAGTTAAATACAATATGTTGGCGTAAAGGAAAGGCAAATAAAACAATTTACGTTATAGTCAAGATTATTCCACGAAATTTTCATTCTAATACTGGATTTCCACCAGGCATCAAATGGAAAAAATTGTAATGACAAAGTTGTGCATTAACAAATATTCGAGTCATTACGTTAAAAAATTGTCATTGAGTTCATTTTCACATGCGATTTTTTAAATATCACCATATGTTTGTCATTTCAATGCCTATTTAGTAGAAATCCAGCATAAGTACTCCATTTTACAAATTCAATATACAAAGGAAAATTAGTTGATAAAAGATCAACGGGAGATGTCAGGTTCTGAGAATCGTACAATTCGAACTTGTTATTGATTTAAATGCCTTTCGAAAAGATGTATGTACCTGTTTGATCGATGTACTGATTTGACAAAAAATCAATAAAAATTGTCCTGATTACCCTGTTAACAAGTTAGGCTTTAGACCCGCCACGTAAAAAAATAACATCAAAGACAAGATCGAAAATGCCTTGGATAGCTGACCTCCCAAACGTTGACGAACCTCACTTACGAAATAATGATCGCGATTTATGGATATATACCTGAAATGTACGGAACCTCTATAGGGATGGTGTCTCTTCCCAATTGCTGGATGTCCTCGAAAGAGACAAGGCTGGCATCACTGAAATTCAGGAAACCCTATGCAGGACTTAATAAAATATGGAGTGTGGTCCATCTGCTATAGCTACCATGAAACGGCGCACTAATTTGTTGTGGGATTTGCGATTGTACGGAGACTACGACAGCTTGTCTCCAGTTTCCCTTCCAGTGAACGAATTGCCACGATCCGCATCAAAGCTAAATTCA